GGGGTGAGAAGAATGTATATTATGTGTTGCTCTTTTATTTAGAGGGGTTAAAAAACTGGCCTGTAGCATGGCAAATTCGAACGCCTCCGCCCGCCCAAACCCCGTGTTTCTCCAAAAAGACAACTGACCCATTAGGCCTACTTTTTAAAAATCACCTGGATACGAGAATCTAGGTGGGACACTATGGTATCATTGTCCATTTCCGATAAGTACATCGTGCGACCAGTTGTGGGCTATTCTCCTCCTTCATTCCTTTACGTGTGTCAGTGTTTTTTTGTCAGTGTGTACGCGTGTCTGTGTCTGTCTTTTTGTATTCATTAAAGTGTTTGCACAGGTTTCTGTGTGAGTTTGAAGGGGTGCAAGGACACATATTTCAAAATGCAAAATAAGTATAACAGTAAATGTACACGAATATAATTTATGTATGTTTATGTATAACTTTACACATATCGACAGTTTCCTAAGGTCAACAGTCAAATCAAAATACAAAAAAAGAAGAAAAATAATGAAATCACAATACTGAGAGCTCTAGGCTCCACTTTGGGTGACAACTTGGACAAATTTGCATTTGAACACTATGGCCTTCTTTAAAACAACAGCAACAACATACCAAATAAACTAGATGAAGGATAAAATGCATTGACGAAAAAATGTAATAAACACATAGTGCTTTCTTTACAAACACTGTCAAGGATCAGTGACAAAAAGCCTGAAGCAACGGCTTCAAAAGAGGCATTTTGGACTATAACACGAATCACATACACAAAAATATGTTGTCATTCAGAAGGTGTCTAAAGATAATGTCTATTACTTGCAGCGGATGTTCAAGGGACATATAAAACTATTAAAGTGAAACAAAATAGCAACCACATCTTTAGGAGAGCTCCAAGAAATGAGTGATCAAGACTGGGGCAATACTAACTTTTTCTGTACACCTATAAAATATACAGGCATCAATGTTTTCTTGTTCTTTGAATACCTTCTGTAATCCCATTTGGAAACATTTTCGCGCCATCGTCTGATCAGCCTGCTGTCAGACTAACATAACTTTACATCGGAGAGCTTCAAGGAGGCAGACAGTGAATGCATTTATTGTTAGTTTCCCTTTATATCATCAACAGTGTTTGCAAAGTGATTAGAGTATTCACTTTTATTTTGAGATACGTGGACAATCATTAACACATTCATTCACACGTTGCTACAATATGTCTAGCTCTTCACTCCGTGAGGCAAGAGGCGATTAACTGATGATGTAAATGCGAACACAACCTGATACATATATAGGTACAAACAAACTGAGGTCTAGATTACAAGACACAAATCATGTTTATCTCTAAACAAATCACTTAATCATAACAAATGTCAAATAAGTGGGTTTCTATTCTTGGTCAGGATTGAAACACTTTTACTTTTTTTTTTCCAAATGAAAAATCTAAATGTTTAATCACTCTGTGAATTTCAGAAACAAAGAAAAATAAAGAGAACATACCATGCCAATAAGGCGTACTCTTCTCAAACATATTCCCACTAGATAAAAGACAAAAACTGGTAATTTTATTAGAAATTCCACCAAAATTCCACTCTGACAGAATTAAAAAAAGACTTTCCATCTTCTGAATTGTGCACCGTCTATGGATCAACAAGATCTTCTAATAATTGGACAGACCTGCACAAGTTTGATCGGACAGATGCCGATTACACTTTTTTTCAAGTTACACCAAAACTCACTGCCAAATTATCAAACAGACCACCATTTTTATATATCATATATATAAAACAAGTAGAAATTAGCATTCTGTCAAGAATTGATCATCTATGTACAGGAAGAATCTAAATAGTGCACCACTAGAATAGAAAATGTCTTATACGAAAATCTACTTGGCAAGAAAAAAGAACAAATTTCAATCACGAGAACTATTATCGGAGATATATATATGCCTTCATAAAATCTTTCCGAATTAAACAAAGATATCGTCCACAACCCATGCTGAAAATCTTTTGCCATTAGTTGTTTTAAAAATCATAGGCTACTATCGTACACAAACATTCTTAAAAACATTACAGGTTCTTTTCAATTTATTTTATTGTGGTACTTCAAAGTTGTGTTTATCAACTCCTACTGCTTCATGGATTCCTCAAATTGGATCTCAAGTTTGATTGCCATAAGTGAATAGATTTCTCTACTTCCATAATTAGTAAATGAAACTGCAAAGAACAAATGAGAAAGATTTCGGAGGTATATAATGTTTTAACATATTTGACACAGATTGCCTCTAAAAATCAAAGTTGACATCTAGTCCACTCTTTGGGTTTGGACTACTTTCAATTTCAGATGATTATGGTACAAACGTAGAAATTTTCAAAAAGTTTTAAAACACTTGGCTTATTAGGGGGGGGGGGGGTTGTCTTGTCTAATTGTCTGGATACCTGTACTTTGGACTAAATTGTCTAGTGAATCGAATCAACAACGACAGTCAGTTTCTTTAACTTAAGATGTTTGACAGATGAAAAAGTATGTATGCTACTAAATATGGGCCATGAGTGCTTAAGAAAATTGTGCGTATCACTGTACAAGAAATACAAAGGGCTTGAAGGTACCCGTGAATATAACCCTTCATCTTGAATGTGAACTACAGGTCAAATCCTCAAGTGAATTGTCAGGGGAGTATCTTACAAAAACTGTAGACTAAAGCATTTGTATCAGGCATACTTCTATCATCCCAACAATAAAAAGGTAAAAATTCAAATTTAAGTTCAGATGACATTTCTTTACATTTTCCAAGTTCTTGTGCTCCCAAAAGAGCTAAGAAGTTCCAGAACTCAACACAAAATTAATGCACAACATACAAACGCAACAACACAGCCATTCTTTCTCAGAAAATGTTTGAGACATGTGTAAGTACTGATGCACTAATATGATGTATGTTGCTGTTGATTCTATACATGTGTCAAGATACAGTGGAATCAGGCGTTCCTCAATTTTTGGGCATGTGAAGCTATTGGCATCATCAAAATTGTTCATTTTTAAAATCTTTCAATGAAAATAATACCCACCTGTCTTAAAGAGAAGTCGAGATATTTGAGATTTAAAGAGGTGGGGGTTGCCTGGTTTCAGAGGTAAAGTTAGCGAGAAAATAGCTCACAAAGTTTGGAAATTTACATAGCTTGAGAGTCCCTGGAAACTGAAAATTTACATTGTTTGTGCCTTTAATCAACGTTTTTTTTAGGTAAAATCCCCACAAAAAATGTATTTTTAAGTGGACATAAAATGTGTTGAGCCAAAAAAATAAAATTTGAAAAAATTGCCCAACGCCCAGAAAAATGGCGGTTTCTTGGATTTCATTCTTTTGACGAGCGCCTGGTTTCACCACTCTGCTTCACATATATTGACATGATCAAGGGGAACAGATGTATATTATTCATGGAAATTATCCTTGAAAAAAACAGTCCTGACAAAACATAATTTTCTAAATCAAACGCTTGGTGTTAAACGAATCCAAAGTCAAAAACATTAAAATTTGTTCTTAAAATATACTTTCTAGTCTAAAGATTAGGTAAACATGTCTTAACATATTCCAAAGGGAAATGTGATTCAAATTTATGCCCTCTTTTGCAAACAGCATTGATTATAACGTTTTTTGAATGATGCATTTAAAAGACTTATTATCTATAGACTGCTAAAAATCACGAAAAATTTGCGTTTTCAATTTGATAATAGAAGGAAAAGACAGGGCTGCCTATGACATATATATTTTTAAAACAAAGTCACAGCCAGTTTGAGTGACTTCGACTTTCATTAACATATTTGGAAAAGTAAATTTCTGCCATCTATATCTCAACAACAAAATGTACAAGAACATCTTTGAGAAAAAGTAATAACTGTAGACTTGTCACAGTTTACTTGTCCATACAGATGACTTGATTCCAGCTAGCTGACCAGACGAGATAACAGTCACATTTGAATGAATTGCTAAAAATACATTTACCTAGAAGTAGAAGAAATAGATTGTGAGAAGAGCAATAAAAAGTATGAGGACAAACAGAGGTTAAAAAGAAAAAAAAAGAATGATTACTTTTGACATGTCATCTTTGATCATAGATTAATAGATAGGTCTTTTAGTACACATAATGTTTTTTAAACTATCGCACTTCATTTGACGAAAGTTGAAATATATCTGTAAGGCTTAACAAGACACATCCATTTCCTTTTTAAAAAATGAGTATTTTGGCTGTTCTTCTTTTCCTGATCTTTTTCCCATCAGAGTAAGATTTGAAATCACTGGGCCCATCTATGGCATAATTAAACGATGAAATAAACAGATTTATCTTCTCATTTCAAAGGTTATGTTTATCATAATTAGACGACCAAAGTCTTTTCACTGACCACTGACATGGTCAATCTCTCCAAACATTGCAGTTCTCAAAATTATTTGCAAAAAATCTTTATCTATCATTCAACAATACTTAGTCCAAAAAAACCTGCAGACTACAATTTAATTGGACAATGTCCCTTCACTTTGACACACACACACACATATATATATATATATATATATTCTTAAGGGGCTCTGTCACAAACAGTAACGGAATTCTTTTTATTCTTTTTAAATGAGAAAAAGTTTACATTTGTCAGCGTGTGTGTGTGAGTGTGTGTGAGTGTGTGTGTGTGCTTGAGTGTGTGAGTGTGCGTTTTGTGTATATGTGAGTGTGCATTTTGTGTGTGTGTGTGTGTGTATGTATGTATGTATGTGTGCATGCATGTGCATGTGTGCGCTCGCAGGAGTGAAAAAGCAGGAAGTTGCATATAATAACAAAAGTTTTGTTGCTCTTTCCGAGAAACTTAAAGGAGTCGAATCCTTTTTATTCAACAACTCGTTTTGAAATGTGAAGGACTTATAAGTGTCTTTAAACTGTTTGTGAAAAAGAACAACTCCACTCAAATTTAAAATCGTCCTCAAGGAACCATACAGAGTATGTGTAACTCATTAATCCACTTCCAAAAGCCTAAAAATGAAGATGGGGTCAGAATATTAAAAAAAAAACCCATCCTAAAACATGCCTTTAGAAATTCACCAAAAAAATATAATAAAACTGCCATTCCATTTAAAACTGCAGCTTAACATGAATATAACATCCTGGATCTGTCTTTCTGTAGCTACACAGGCATATTGTACATAGACAACTTCCATGACTATAAATCAGGAACAATATAGCGAAATGCAACATCTTGTGACACGAGCAAAGTAATACTGGTAAAGAGTACATAATGAACAAAAGGGACCGACATCCCACTGAAAACTGAATAAAAATCTTCTAAGTTGAGGGTTACAGTGTGATTCACGATAAAACACCGAGTTTGTACAATTCTTTCCAGGCATATGGAACAAACTGAAACAATTATGACTTCATAGTACACAATACACTCAAATTGTGCTTCAACTTTGCAAAGTATGTAACGAAAGACGACTGACTGACAGACAACTACAGACCACATATTGCACGTTGCCCATTGCCTCACACTACACAAATGAATGTGGCATGAGGATTGCAAGAAAAAAGACGTACCCAACTCAAATAAATGCTCATACATACACAGGCACATGCACTGTGGAGCATGAATTCATGCATGGATGGCTGCCCATACACACACACACACTCGGTAAACTGGCAGTATGTACTTAAAAAACATTGGAGGTTACAAAATAGAAATAAAACATCACCAAAAAATAATAAGGAGACAATGTCAAAAGGAGTATAAGATTTGGTCTCTCAGTTCTAGCTGCATTTAAACTGTTGAACAACTAAATCAATTATAATTTCAATTTTGTACTTGATCCACTTTATAAATGTTTATTGACCCTTTGAGCATGCAAAATAATTGGTAACATTTCTCAGGCCTACTTCTTTCTAACGTGTATGAGATGATTTGTTTTATAATGCGATGCAATCCAACGAATATCAAATGCCATTCAAGTATCAAGCCTCCCAAAACAAAAGCACCTTTCATTCCCACTCCGCTATTTTATAATTAAACAAAGGAAAAGAGAATAAACCCAATAAACCAAAGAAAAAAAACAATACAAATAGAATTAAGAATCCTCCCCCCCCCCCCTTTCGTACATATGAGTAGAGTGTTAACATTTACAAATAAACTGCTTACCTTTCAAATTTAGAGCAAAATCACAATGTTTCACAACAAGAAACATGATAATTTAAGAAAAGAAGAAAGAAAATGTGCACTTTACACATTAAAAGAAAATATATGTGACCTATTGTATCCAACAGTTTCACATGTCACTTTTTTCTGCGACATTTTAGACATTTAGAGGTAAAAACATAGGTCACATATGCAGTGCCCTTGTTGAGGGAAAAGAAGAAAGACTTTCTCTTAAATTTCCAATCTTTCCATAGGCTGGTCAGGGCTACCAGTGCTTTTACTAGGACATTTGAAACCTTTAGCAAGTTCAAACTGACCATGCCAGAGGTGACATTACATATCATTTTTTCACACATTATATTGTTATCAAGAGCGCAATCAACTATAATCTTACAGCATTCTGCTATGCCGGCACCATCTATTAAAGAAAAAGCCGCAATTTGAAGACAACCCTCAAACCATGGCTACAAAGATTTCAAAATAATATTTGAAAGCATAAATGAAATATCTTTAAAAGGCAATAAAAATGCAATAGCCAAGTAAAAAAAAGAAGGGGGAGGATCACATCCAGACTAAAGTGGGTAAAGAAAATCATAAAAGCAGAATGACCAAGGCACAGAAAAATAAAAATAAATCCAATTCCTATAAGCAAAGGCAAACCCTTGCGCATTGCATTTAGACGATTTTTTGTTGTTGTTGCTGTTGTTGTTTAAAGCTGAATTAAAGCTGTCGCATAGTAGATCAAAATTGGAACAAAAGAAAAAAATCATTATTCTCACCAAAACTATTTATGGCGGAGCTGAAAAACAAAGAAAAGTTTGTTATCATCTCAGCACAACGAACCCTTTCCACAAATTCATCATAAAAAACAATGAATTTTACTTAAGCACTTAAACATGTGTAAACTGCAGTAGCAGCTTAATCTCATCAATAAAGTATCGTAGGTCCCAGTGGTTACATAAATGAACTTGTTCTGAAAATATCATGAATGAGAAAAAACAAGAAAAAAAAAGTGTTTTCATTCTACATGTAATTAATCTGTTATGTTCAGACAATTCAGAAGTGTGTTATTGAGTTCCAGGGGCAAAAACACTCCTTTCCTTTCTTCATATCTTAGACAGAAATGATTTGTTAATCATCCAGGGTCTATCAAGAATGAAAATTAATTTTTGTGAAGAGATAAAGTGATAGTTTTAAATGATTTTGGTTTCAGTGTTCAATTTCCTGCTCAACTGGAAGCAAATTTAATTTTTATTGATTTCTTTTTCTCATAGTTTTTATTTTTGAAACAAGTAAAATCCTCATAGATCAAGAAACACTTGAAGCATCTTTGACATCAATTTACTTCATTAATGGATGACATACAACTTAGAATTAAGGAAAGAAAAAAAACAAATTAAACAAGTTCAAGAAATAAGTGGTCACTTTTATGAAAACTTTAATAAAAGTGAAAAACACATCAGGTTGTTCGACATCCCTCAAATGTCTAAGTATGAAAGAAGATGAATACATTCACTTGTTCAAATGCATTGTGATAGCCATGAGAAGATAGCTAATTCCATTCACCACTTATAAATCTCACTGTATCTGCTATGCTCCTCCTCGTAACCGGTTACAATACGGTACCACACACACAAAAACGCGTCAGAGGCACAGAGTTCCATTTGTAACCACTCAGCTTTGTATTCCATTCATGAATATGTATGAATAACTGAACAATGAACAAAAAAATATGCACATTTGTGGACCACAGTTGCAAATGCCTCTAATCCAAAAAAAAAGCTTAACTTACTCTTCAAACATGTCCATCACTCCAAGGTGCAAAAAGCTCGCAAAAGAGTATAACTAACATCACTACCCACAGTGGGTAAATGGCCAATGGATTGTTCCATGCACTGAAGCCTGTAGCGTATGACAGAATCTCTTTTTTCTAATCTTCTTGAGAAGCTTATTATGATTAATGCATTATTCATATCATTTTTATTCAAATTGAGTGAAGTACTTACTAGGAACCTTTTTAAAGAAAGTTTGTATAAGCCGTATAAATTAGTTGCGTTGCCCCAGGATTGCGTTCAAGTCTATTTACAATCATCCTTTACAGTTCAGTGTTGAGAACCTATCTCAAATTTTACAATCCTACAAGATATCTTTTTACGTGAAACCAAAAAAAATCTCACTTTCAGCAAATTTCATATTTTGAATGGCAACAATAAGTATTTTGTTAGATCAGTGTCAAATAAACCCAAGGCAACTAAGTGAAATAATCAATTACATCAGCTTAGAAGCTTTGCAGCACAAAGACTTAATAAGTTTAAAGAACTTCTAAAATCTAAAATCACATCATCAGTGTCGCAAGCAATCCACTCAAGTACATTTGGGTACTTTTTACACCATAGACAAAAAAATTAGTTTTTATTGCGTTGTTTCTATCGGAATAATGAAAAGCTCAAATATTGTTAGCCTTGACTACAGCATTAAACTGCATTTTGATGATGCTGAAAGGTGCATTTTTGAAAGAGATTTGGGAAGGTGTAAAATTAGAAAATTCTCAAAATTTGGACTTATGCGAATTACTTGCAACAGCAACGACATATTTCCCATGTTCTAGATTACTCTAGTCAAAATGGTGCCTCTAAATTTTGTATATATTATTGTGACTTCTTTAAAATGAAAAAAAAAGAGATCTGCAGTCCTTCAATATGTGCTTTGGTCCTATTCCCCTGTTGAACCTTTTAGATTATTTTTTACATTTTCTGAACAGATCAGATACTAAATGTGCTGACCCCCCAAAAAAAGCTTTTGTTGAAAAAGTACCAAAGGTAATGTATACATGTGCATAACACTATATCTCTTTCATAAGTAATTCTGGTGGCAACCAGTCTACTTGTGCTAATAAATTCACTGGAGTGATATTGGAAGCCAAAGACACAAGCAGCTAAATGGAACCATCTCATGCAAACATCTCTGAATCCAGTCAACATCAGTCTATTAAAAGCACTCTTCAGTTGCTTCCTCTCTTCCATTACTTCTGACAAGCTGTGTTTGAATTAGAGAACACATATGCCTTTCCCAGTGAGATTTACTGAAACTGTTGGCAGCTAAAAGTAAAAAGGTTCAGCCTCCATCTTTCCAATCTTCTGAAAAGAAAGCAAAGTCTCATCTCAGCCTCCGAAGAACATTTTATTTTTTTCTGCAACAACGTTGATGTAATGATCAATCCAGCTGCTCATGGACTTGAACCCATCAGCTCAGAAACACATTTATTATCATAATACTAGTTCCAAGTGATGCGAACACACTTATCCTAATCTTTTGAGCCAAAGCACCAAAACGAACAGTGAAGCGCCCATATCGTCATGGCGATATAGGACTCCAACATTCTGCTGTATATATAGAGTTTGGTATATCCTTTGTAAACCCTCAGCACTCAGTGTCTTTGAGGTGCGGCACACCATCTGGCACAGGGGCGAACACAACCGTTTTGGTGTCTCGACGGGGAGGCGGGATGCTCTCAGCCGAATTGTTGCTGCTGCCACCCGCACTCTGAGTGGAGTGACTGTCTTCCTGGACAGAATTTGGCTTCAGTTTTGACTCCGCCCTCTTCCAAACGGGTGATGAGGCCCCGCCTCTATCCCCCGAATTGACAGAACTAGATGAGTAGTTGAGTGGGTCGGCACTGGCATACTGCAGTTTTGCAGAGCCTGTTTGACTACCGGTTTGGCTAGAACAGCTAATATTAGAATTTGAAGAACATGAACTATTCTCCTTGTTCTTTTCCACTGGATTCGGATCCAGCGTTCCTGGCACAAATCCACCAGACTCGTCCATGCTGGCCTCATTAAGGTCCCCAATTGTCTTACTACGAGTGCGGAAACCAGCATCTATATCCATTTCTCCAATTTTCTTATCCAAATCCATCGAGTGTCGTTCATTGTCAGTGCTCTTCATTCGTCGTTTGAACAAAGCAAGCTGAGGACTTGACAGGGGGTGTGGCTGGGAGGAGCCAGAGGCTCCGCCCACACTACCTGCCTCAGATGGCGCTCGCGAGGGACTGGTAGAGGTAGGAGAAGAAGAGTTTGGTCGATGATTGGGAAGATGAGAATGTTGCTGATGAGGGGAAGAGGAAGAAGAAGAGGTGGTGGTGGTGGGAATGATCATCTTCCTTACACTTTCTCTGATGGTCTGCCGTATCACCTTCATGAAGTCACATTTTGCTTCACTGGTGCTGAAAGTTAGGAATGAAGAAAAAGTGACGTTAAAATGTAATCAGTAAGAAATTCCTGGTGCACTTTGTGTGTGTTCTGTCAACACCAATGACGAGCATGCAAAGAACATGAAAAACATTTAAACAAAAAACATAACCAAACTCGGTGACAATTATAGGAAAGGTCAACGGTGAATCCCAGTAAAATACAAGAAATGTAAGTGCAAATGAAAAAAAATGTTTAGATTATTGTAAAAAAACAGTCCAAAAGGAACATGACAAAAATCCTAAACATGAAAAACCTACATAGTACATAGGTCTCATATGATAAACAGTAATATTTTAATCTTATAGCATGCTTTGATAGATTCTTCAATTTGATATCGCTGATCTAAAGCTAAGAAATACTATTTAAAAATACTACATTTTTACACTTATAAAACGATTGTCTACGAGAAAGCCATTTTAATATGACACCAGAATTGCGTCTTATTTGATATTTAGTTAAAAGACATTAGAAACAAGTTTTTCAATAATTTGAATAGACGTTTTGTTTGTTAGACATCAATATTATTAAATGTTGTCAACAAAAGAATACTGATACTCATCAGGTACCGAATAATTGTGCAGCAAAATAATTTGAAAATGATAAAACCTTCATTATTACAGCCTATTCCAAAGTATTCAAAACCAAAAAAAAAAAAGGTGTAAATACTACCTGTTGCAGAACTGGTACACTTTCTCAGGACGGCCTTCTAGCTCCGATCGTGAATGAACCAGGTCCCACCAGTAGTGCCGATCCATATCCCCGACCTTCCCAGTGCGGATCTGAACCTCCTGCGTAGGGATCAGGGTTCGGAACCTCTCTACAGACTCAGCCACTTCAATCAAGGAAGATCTGGCTGATATGGACTGAGTGACCAAACAAAAAAAAGGTTTAAATAATGAACAGTGGCACACTATTAGTTGAATTCTCCTTGTGATACTATCAAGATTTATATTGCCTCTGCTAGAAAACGTACCTTCTACAACTTTCTTCATAATGAGCAGTCTTTAAATGATAAATAAATTCAACTTCAAAAACACAAGTATGCTCCATATTGATGAGGGTTTTTTTGGCTTCTAAAGCTTCACCTTTCCAATTCAGCACACCAACTTGACATTCTCATCTGCATATTTTCAAAACTGTTGTACATAAAATTTTCCACAAATTTCCTGGAATAATCATTTTCTTAATTTGTTTATATCAAACTGTGGTTTCTCATATTTACTGTTTTTTCACATTCAAAGAGTTTTTTTAACAATAAGAAGAACAGAAACGAGAAAGAAAAAAATAAAACTTCTTCCCAACCTTTGTCTTTTTCCTTTTTAATCTCTCTCGGCAGAGGAAGGTGACCCCGGTCTTGAACACAAAAACGACGTTCTCAAACTCAGCAGATTTCTTGACCTTTCCGAGATGATCGGTGACGTTGACCCACTCCACGGTCCCATACATCTGAAGGTCCCCCACATTCAGCTCTATGGGCTGTGGAAGACAACATTATAGAATTAATGAGTATATAGATAAATGCTCAAGTGTGAAAGCAATCACGACTTCACAGGTCATGTTGAACTTTAGTGTTAAAACTTTCACTGAGCTGAAAAAGAAAACAAAACAATGGAAATGTTCCTGATGAATTCCTCACTGAACTCCATAAAATAAACAAACATGTCCATTTTCCCTGCATGACTAGGCTGGCGTATTTTCTTGAGACTGGAAAATATTCTTCTGCATTAAAAAAAATAAAAAATTGTGTGGGGCACAATTCATTACATAGCAATCAGTACGCATAGCAATCAGTACAGACACTTTTCCAATACTTAAAAAAATTTCTGAGATCAAAAAGGCAGTTATGCTCACTATTTGATATGGAGTACAGTATATCCCCGAGACATTTGAGATGAATTGTAAATGAACGTCAATCAAATCATCCAGCTAAAACGTCTTCTTTTGTTTCACTTTATTTCTACATTGGCATAATCTCATTAGTAATCAATCCCCTGAGGCTGTAAAGGCAAAATTTTCCATTGTATCAGAGATGAAAAATTATTTCATATCTAAGATGAAAGAAGCTGAAAACCAAATAAAATTATTATTCTTACAGGTTTGTGTGGGTTGTTCTCCTTATATGATTTGGTAAGTTCATCAAAGACAGATCCATATTCATCATAGATTTTCTGCATCTCATTGATATGTTCTGCCACAGCTTCCATCCCTTTCAGTGCCTCTGTGGAAATAAAAACAAAGAAAAAAATATTGTTTTTGCTATAAGGATATTCCACTTTCTTTAGCTTAGCACACTCATAAAAAATTGCACTTTGCAAGTGATCATTTTTGTCATATGAAATGAGATTAATTTACAAAGCATTATTTTGTTTTGTTTATCAACTTCCTATTCTTGTTCTGTTCATCTTCCCTCGATCTGTGAGGTCAAGCTCAATTTTTTTAAATGAAGGTGTTTTTCACTTCCCCATTTACATAATTCTGATAATTTAGGAGATGGGCTGCCACCCTGCCTGTCATGGCCAACCCTTACTGATGCGGACACAACTTCCAAATGGATGGGGATATTCAGTTAAAAATACTCTTGTTTATGTTTTAGTAAGCGTTTTCCGGCACTTGAAACACAATTAGGTCATATAAGTGTCGAAGATTAGAGGTGTTACAAGAGAGTAACAAACATAAAAAAGAAGAAGGAGAGATAAAGACAATAGTTGTAGGATAAGAAAGAAGGAGCAAACCACACCACAGCACCCACCAGCCACCCACTAAAAAAACCTCTCCTCATGGGAATCTTCCTCCTGCATGTGACAATGAAGGGTCAAACCGATACACCACAGACAGATCTGCAGATAGCAGACTCTTCACTCTTCACACAAAACACTGCTATGACAGGCATAGTATTCAAAGCCATGCTCAAACTTTCATCTTACCTGAGAGGTGATGGTGTTCGTCCGTGTCCAAGTGCGTCATATTGCACAGCTGTTGGAGGAGGAGGGGGTACTTGAGGATTCTTTGGATGGGCTTGATCAGGTAGGACTCCAGAGTGGCAGAATGTTGTTGCTTCGGGTTCCTGGCTCGAAGAAACTCCCGCAGAGCATCGTTGGCATCTGAGACACAGAGGACTGATGGATAATATTTATGGAACACGTTTTCAGTGTGGAAGAAAAAATGAAAGAAAAGAATGAAAAAAAGAAGAAAAGAAAGAAAGAAAGAAAGAAAGAAGGGGAAAAAAGGAAAAGGAAAAAAGAAGAAAAAAGGAGGTGGGGAGATAAGGACAATAAATATTTGGTAGGAAAGTAGAAGCAAACCATACCAGAGCAACCACCAACCACCAACTCTCAGTGGGAATGTAAAGAGAGGAAAAAAGTAAGGAGGAGAATGCTTTATATATCCCAGTCAGGATGACAGGATTCAAATGGCTTATTCTTCATACTAAAAGGAAATTCAGCACCTGATGTAATACATAATATAACAATTTGTGGTATACATCTCTATACTATGGTCTTTGCAGAGAAAACATTTCACATTGGTGCCACATTCTCTATCATTAGTACACCATAATAAAATGCATCATAAAAGTTTACCTGGATTGAGTATTTTCTGTGAGCGCGAGTGACTTGCACAGAATGAACTGTAGACCTTAAAGTGATTTGCGTAGTACAAGAAGGAACCTCCGAGGGAGAACAGTACTCTCTGAAAAATAAAGTGAGAAAAATAAAGAATTAATTTGAGACAGCCATTCTTTTCTGTGATGCAGGTCAGTCTTCTACTACAGAGAAACAGCTACAAAACAATGAACATACTAATCTGGGCGTTGGTGACCTAGTGGTTAGGCTCTCAGACTCGCAACCATAAGGTCGTGGGTTCAAATCACGTCAGGGGCCCGATATGTGTCCTTGGGAAAGGCACTTTACATGAATTCTCCTCACTTCACACAGGTGGGATCGGACTCAGCTTTAAACAGTGAAAGATGTTGCCAGTTTTTTAGTGTTTGAGGGCTTGCACTATACACTTCCCGGGAAGCTGAGAATGTTTCTGAAAGTTCTAGGGTCTGTTGGGTTAATAATATAGTGTAAAAATGCATAGAGCTCTGTTGAACGGGGATATCCGCTATACAAATGCTAACAACACCAACAACAACAACAATAGTAGCATTAATTCCGTTACCTTGAAGTCCGATACATTGTTTGTAGTGAAGAACTCGGGCACCGACTCCACAGCCTCCTCCAGGCTATGCAGGAAGCGCTGCTGGAAGGCCACAATCTCCTGGATGTTGCCAAAAAGCTGCTGGATCTCACCCGAGGTGAGGAACGTCTCTTCCTTGAGGGGCTCCAGATAGCGCTCTGTCAGGCACTTCAGGTCCTGAAATGGTACATATACATGAGGTGAGATAAGAAAGTACAGAGAAAACTGAGATGATTTTGAGTTTGTGTTATGAGAAGCACATTATTTTAGTTTTAGTATGAGTTTTACAGCTCTTGCAACACAATAAGGCCGAATATTAGAGGAGTTACAAGAGAGTAATAAACACAAAAAAGAAGGATGATGGCCTTTTGATAGGAAAAAAGGAGCAAACCACACGAGAGCACCCACTATTATTTAGCGCTGGGGCAAGGCACAAAAGGCAGACAGAAACAAAAAGGAAAAGCGGTGGAAAGCTGTCCTACTGTTTTAAGTCCAGAAAGCAGAATTTTTCACAAGAGAGAACAAACACAGTAAGAAATTATTAATCTGGTTGGGTTATAGGCGTACAATGTCCCCTCCAACACAATTTAATCCATCTCTGAAAGGACATCGGAAATTCAAGCACTTCTGCTTACACTACAGTCCAGCATTATACAACAGAACTGAATGTTCACCACATCCAAATCAAAACAATGAATAAGCTTTGAAAATACAGCTATCAATGCCCATTAAAATTCACTAACTAAAAAATGTAATTTCAAACTAAGACCAGTGCTTACTTTGACATAAGCTCTTTCAGTTTCCACCAGTTCCATAATGGCTTTCCTCATTCGCTGAGCATCTGACAACGGCTTAGTTGGGATGTTGGGATCATCTGACAACGAGCGAGGTTCATCTTTCCGACAAATTGCTGTAACTTGCTCAGCACCCTAGAGAAACAGTTTCATGAGATACCAGTGCTTTCATATGAAAAAAAAATGCATTGAAAAAGTAATTAATTGATATTTGTCTAAAAACATAAAGAGTTCTGTACATGAGAAGTACATAAGGAAAAAAAGGTTAGTGACAGTGGTTTGATGAGCTCATCACGGTACTTTGAATCTGTCTCTCTTTCTCCGTCTGTCTGTCTCTCTCACTCTTTCTCTTTTTGCCTCTGTTTTTCTGTCCTCTTCTCTCTCATTCATTGCACAGTCTGAAACACACACATATACATGCGCACACACACACACAGCACACATACATACAAACATCTCTTATAAAAGAATTCTTGCAGGAGAACCCACTTCTCTACTAAACATTGTCAACAGACATCATAACGGTCCCAAATGCTCTCGCTTTTTCTTTGTCTGTCTCTCTCTCTCTGTCTCTCTCTCCCCCCTCTCTCTCTCTTTCTTTCTCTCTCTCTCTCTCTCTCTCTCTCTCTCTCTCTCTCTCTCTCTCTCTCTCTCTCTCTCTCTCTCTCTCTCTCTCTCTCTCTCTCTCTCTCTCTCTCTCTCTCTCTCTCTCTCTCTCTCTCTCTCTCTCTCTCTCTCTCTCTCTCTCTCTCTCTCTCTCTCTCTCTCTCTCTCTCTCTCTCTCCCTCCCTCTTCCTCTCTCTTGTCAGACTTACCTCTAGCAGAGCATCAATCTGTGCTGGAGAAGTAGTTTGGGACCGTTTGTCTCGTGCTGACTGTGAGTGTGAGCCATCAGCTGTGAATACACCTCGATGTTACACCAACTAAAGAAACAACATCACTCTAGGAAAACAACTTTGATTGTACAAGAGATATTACAGGCCTACTGTTTTAACACGGATAGTTATCTTTTAGGAGAAAAACTCTTGAAAAGTATTAATATAACAATAATTAAAGTTTAGTGTTCGGTATCCCAGTCCGTATACATAATGAGATATTTCCTTCACAAATGTATTTGCAAACCTGTATGACTTTGTACATTGCCTGAAATGGATACTTACCAAAACACTACCCTTGAATTACAAAGTTTTATCTACTAAGTACCTAGCTTTGAGAAATTTGAGTTAAAAATTTTGAATTTTACAACATGTCAAGTTTTTTTGAATAATAGAGCAGACAGAACATTTGGTTCCTGACATCATGGTCTTAGTAACTCAAAACAGCCAAAAATGTTAGATAGAACTTTGTAATTTTAAGGGGGCCAAAATACACAGGCAGAATTTGTTGATGATAGTGATATGTACTTTGCAAGCTGTAGTGCTGCATGTATCCCTGAAATGGTAATAATTTGTAAATAACAAGCTAGCCTTGTGTCACATGAAGTCACATGAGCATTGTTCATATAACATGACTATTAATAAGATTCTCTTCTTCAAGTTCCAGATCTGAAACAAACATTATCAATCATAGTTTTCCACTCATTGTGGCTATCTTGAAAAGGTTCAATTGTGGTTTGAAAGAATGTGTAAAATAACATCAACAAGCACCAACACACTATCATCGTCATTATCATCATTGCCTTTCTCACGCTAGGTCAGAGTATAAGCAACAAACACTTTCAACCTTTCCGTATCCTGGCCCAGCCTCTTGATGTTATTCCATGTTTTCACACTTTTCTGCATATTGATTTCTGGGACTTTACTCCACCTTCCACGTACTAACCTACTATACATAAAGACAACTCACCATCGTCGGGTGAGGGAGCTGGAACAATCAAGTTCCCCAAAGACTTGTCGGAGAGTCGGGACTGGCTGGGAGGAGGGGGCACTACCATGTTGTTGATGTAAGCGTCTGTGTGCTGGGAGATGAAATCTGAGCGAGGGGGCTGTGTGCGCATACTGCGTACTGTAAGGAACAGGGTTCGAGACTCGTGCAAGAGGGTCTCAATGTATACCATGTCGAGCTCTGACACAATTTTGCTGTTGATGACCAGAACCTCATCTCCAACAATCAAACCTGGAATAATGAATTGAAAGATAGTAGAGAGACATTCTGGATAATTGATTGGAGAAATGTTCAATTAAAGAAAAATATAGTTCACCTGGAAACAAACTTGAAGTCAAATGGGTGTCGCTTAGTCTTATTTTTATCTTTTCTTAAAACATGTTATCAATGTAATGATTGATCTTTTTATGCTATGAACTGCTTGCACTGTACATGCTCACCTTATTAAAAAACAAAGAACAAAAATATAGCAACATATATAATATCACTGAGAAAGAGCAGCAATAGTTTTTTATAAAATATATTTGTTCATTTGCCTTAACATTTCAAATTTAAAAATTAAGATGATTTTACCCCACTGAAAAGAGAAATTTGCTTTGTTTGAATAAAGAAAAGAATATTGGCACACTAACAGTCATTTACTGCATGAAGAAAGCAAGACCAATAAACAGATGGAACAAAAAGAAAGAAAAGAAATGTGCTTTACCATACATACAACATTCGAAATAATACAATGACGTAAAAACTTTTAACGACAGCACAATAAAGCTTGTAAATTTTTATCAATGCAAAAGCAAGAGAACGAAGAATTTAGTTGTCTTTTCGTAATTTTTTTTTTTTTACTATTATCTGCTCTGCTCTGCTTGGTTGGAGAACAGGTATCATCGCAGGCGGTACAATGCCATAGCTGCTCCTCCCTCCACTACAAGAGCATTTTTCTGCACTCACCTCTCTTATCAGCAACAGCGTCCCGCGTGACATCACAGACATAGACTCGGAGCTCATCATCTCGGTCCAGATCCTCCGCTAGTTCTGCTTCAACGGCAAACCCAAAAACCCCATCCTTTGTGGGTTTGGTCAGCTCTAGTTGGAACACACACTTCTGACACACCTCGATGGCCTCGTATCGCTGTGGTAGAAGGATGGAGAGGTTAGTTATAAGTTTTAGTAAGAGTTTTACGGCACTTACGACACGATGAGATCATATAAGTGTAGAAGATCAGAGCTCTGTTTGTTAGTCTTAGTAAGTGTTTTACGGCACTTGCAACACAATAAGGTCATAAAAGTGACGAAGATCAGAGCTGGTACAAGAGAGCAACAAACACAAAAAAGAAGGAGAGGGTTATTGACTCTTTAAAGTCGGCACCACTATTAACAAGACACTGAATAATGGTACTTATTTTTTGTTTTCCTTGTTCATCATTAATATCTGTGGAACTCACTAACTACTTGATAATCTAAATTGAATAGGAATGGAAGAAAGAAATGGACAAAATAGAAACATGGAACACCATGGGCAGCTAATATAGTCAAGTGTAACAAGTTTCTGTCATTTGATGACTCTGTCTCACATTAAGAACCTGGGACATACAAGTGGTCATTAAACCTGGAAGAGAGCTGAACAAAATTACTTTGCTCAAGCAACCATGGAAACAAATTCAGTTGGTCTGCAAGAGCTGTTTTCAGTTTAAGTCTGATTTCACATATAGCCAGATATAAGTAAGTGTCTTTAAAGGAAAGGCACTTGGTTGGGAGATATAATAAATGAAGAAAAAAGAAAGAAAGAAAGGAGGTAGAAATATACTATATATGCTAGTAGGGTTGGGGTGGTGGGGGGGGGGGGGGCATCATTACCCTCAAACGTTGACAACATACATACCAGCTTTTTAATGTTTTCATGTTTGTCAGGTATGACAAACGTATTGTCTGTGGATCCGAGAGGTTTGATGCGGACGTAATGATCTCGAGGGTTAAGTTGTCGCTTGTTGCAGGTCATCTGGAGCAAGTCCTGTACGCTGGTGCCCCGGTCCACGCCGATGAGCATTGTCTGAAAGTTGTAACACTGAAACACCGGACAGAGTAACACAGCAAGTCAATCAAAGGGGGAGGGAGCCAGCACCAAAGCTATAGGGGAGTACTGCCATAACCTGACCAAATGCTTCTTTTTCATTCACAGCAGTTTTGAGATAAAAAAAAGCTTTTTGTCAGCGTAACAATTTAAAAAAGGTGTTCTTCCGAAATTTGAATTCAAATTTATTAAACAACTAGTCACAGTTTCACTTTGATGTTTTGGACACACATAGGGTAAATAATCAGGCTTTCAATTTAGCAAATTAAAAAAATTTAGCGCCAAAAATGAAAACTGGCGTTTTGTCAGCTTATGGCAGGGTACAGAGCGCAGACACAGAGTTGACTTTTTCCAAGGGTTTTTTTTTTTCAGACACGAAAATACAATGGAGTCTTCTTAAGCTGAGCACCGTTGATCTGAAAACAGAGGTAAACTAAAAGAAAAGAAAATCTCCATTTTTTTCCGTTCTATATGGGAAACTTCTCTAAACTGAAAATTCCGACTTAAATGAAGACAATCCTGCGGTCTCACAGATTTCAGTCTAAGTGGCCTCCATTGATTTTACAGAACATAATCATAATCCATGTTGTCATTGCAGGAACAGTTCTTAGATGACAGACTTTATAGCACAGAAACATAGCCAAAATATGACGTCTAACTGAAAGAACAATCACACAGGTTTTGGACAGACATGGAACCAGAAGCAGCTCGTGTTATTGTCAGTTAGTCAATAAAATCAAAGGGGGTACCATCAGCAGAAAAGCAGTGAAACACATAAAAAATACTTGAAAGAAAGCAAAAATAAATCCAAGGAAACCAATACAAATAAAAAGACGGGGGCAGGGGGGGGGGGGGGGGTGGAGGGAACCCAAACTCCAGTGTGTTATCAGCATTTTAATCAACAATAAGTGCATAAATCATTGCCAGATTTGGGGTTTGGCTTGACTGTTTGAATACATCCAGCTGTAGATTATTATTTCTTCTGCTCTCAACACAAACAATTTATTTCAGAGAGCTGGATTCCATTCGTCCCTAGAAGTAAATTAAGCTTTTGAAAGTGTGTAAATATAACACCAGTCCAAATTTTTAAAATGGTGCTCATATTTAGGACTACAGGAGCATTAAGCCCAGACAGTAGTTCTTTGAAAAAAATCCCTTAAAAAGGTTTCTTATTTGAACTCGCAGAAATTTATAAAGCAGTATTCTCATTCCCAAAGCCATTCATAGAACTGAGTAAAAATGATCAACGAACAGAGCTTAATTGAGCATCAACACTCCCAGAACGCTATGAAAGCTAAATGGCGCAAGAGATAATACCCAGGAACAGCCAACCTATCACTTCCACATGTTCAAATATTGTGATAAGTGATTTTAAAAAATCATAGCTAACAGCAGACCAAGTGTTAAAGGTGAAGAATAACAAAAACTAACAGAAAATAATTAATGCAATATTGAAAAAATAAGCAATATTGTTACGGTCGTCTACCTAAATCAAATTTTTTTCCCTCCCACAAAGATATTCCCATTCGCCTTGCAAATTATTTTTTAAATAATAAAAGTAAATAAATAAATACATAAATAAATAGACAAATATAAATAAATAAATAAATAAATAAATACATTTTAAAAGAATTATTAAAAAATAATTCACAGAAAAAAATGTAATAAACACAATAAAGAGAATTACAAGAATCACCAGACATTTACTAAAGAAACAATACATTAGCATATGGAGCAAAAGAATGTATTCGACGGAAAACATGATAATTAAATTAATCTGTAATACAAAATACCAATAACTCAATTACAAAACAAATCAAGAATCCTTATTATGCACTCGTGTTTTGGTGAAACAAAGAAAAACAACAGGAGGGAAGGAGAGAGGGAGAGGGGGGGAGATAAGATAGAGAGACAGAGAGAGACAGAGAGAGAGAGAGAGAGAGAGAGAGAGAGAGAGAGCAGGGGGGTATAGAGAGAGAGAATTCCTTTGTGTTTTATTTCAAATTAACTTCCACTTTAATAAGCTTTGCTTTCGTCTCAGCCCCTTTATCCACTGCAGCTCTTATCCTATTGTTCATAACACTATCAATTTGTACTGTCTTCGAAAAACAAAATTGAATCAGCTCAGCTGTCTCTGACATTCCGTCTTCCTCTTCTCCCTGCAAATATCAGTCCCTATTTTCCATTCTTCTTAGTACTCAGTGACTTCTATCTGAAAGTCTCAAATGATCTGAGCCCTTTTGAATCCTATTAAATCATATAATCCCTGTTTCAAGACCTCAGAAAACAAGATGAAAATAGTTTTCAATAAGAACTACATTTAAGACATATAATTGTTGCATTGTGGACTATCCCAATGATGAAGAAAGGGGAAGGTTACGAGTGTATAAGTCCTCTCCGCCATTTCTAAAAGTACATGAAAGTGATGGCAACGAAGACCGATGACAGAGGAAGTGAAGGAAGGGGATGAAGAGAAGGAGAAGGAGGAGGGAAAGTGATGATGGTAAAGACTGATAAAGGAGGAAGAAAAGAAGGAGAATGAGAAGAGATAATAGGTGACAAAAGCTTTTGAAATAGGATGAGTGAGAGGAGGATGAAAAAAGACAATAATGCATACTCAAAAGGAGGACAAAGACAAGGAAGAGGAAGAAGGATGAGAAAAAATTGGAGGAAGAAAAACGGGAGAAAGAAGAACACACACAAAGTCGCCCTGTCTTCCTACCTGGTTATTTGGCAGCGTGACCTTGGAGAGACTCTCCTGGCCTGGGCTCGCGTCAGGTCCTGCCTTCTCCAGGAGATTGTCCATGGAGTCGGAGTGTGGAGCATGACCCGTTTTGTACAACGCTCTGTGGGAAGTTTCGAGAAAATTTTGAGTTACAGTAAAGTCTGAGATTGAGAGAAGTTTGAGTTGAGTAAAATTTGAGTTCGAATGACCCGTTTTGTACAAAGCTCGGTGGAAAGTTTCTGAGAAAATTTTAGAGTTCGAGTAAAGTTTGAGTTTAAGTAAAGTCTGAGTTCGAGTGAAGTTTGAGAAGGTATGAAGTTTGAGTTAAGTAAACTTTGAGTCTGAATGAAGTTTGAGGTGAGTAAAGTTTGCGTATGGGTAAAGTTTGAGTAAAGAGAAGCACACAGACAGAATGGTAGTCATCTGGTGCAGGGAAATAGTAAAACAGAAGACATAAAAACAAAACAAAGAGAGAGAGAGAGAATGTTGAAAGATTTCAGTAGATTCTGACAAGTCATCAGTTGAATAAATATAGAAGCGAAATTCCACACAGTGGCAATTATCATCATAGTGTACTTGTTTTGCCTCAATTGAAAAGTGAATAGTTCAGAAACAATCTTTTCATGGTTCATGCAGGGTTTATAGTTAGTTACTTGAGATACTCATTTTACAGTTAGCACAGATATTTATATTACAGTATGCATATCAGTAAAATAACTCAAACAGAAAATATTCTAATATAATAACCCTATAAAAAGTCCCATCATATAAGACAAAACAAATTTCTGGAACATACTCTGAGCTAACGCTGGAGCTGACGAGTGCTGTTGGTGTCCTTGACCTTGGCTTCTGCACACTCTCTGACCTTGGGGACAACATCCCTCCCTTCTGACTTGTCTTGCCATAGATATTTGGTAAGACCAAAGGTTTGCGAGCGCTGACTAGAGCATGGAAGGATGTCACGGTGAAGATGCCGAGACGACCCAAAGTCGTCTTTGAAGCTTTCGATGCATTGGCCAGGAGAACCTGAAGACACAACAGAATAAAGTAAGTCTGTCTCTTCATGCTTATACTTTATATTAAAATGCGTACATTCTTGTTTATATTTTAGTGATGTGGTGTAATTTAAATTTGTTTCTGATTTAAAAATACAGCATGAGAATAAAGTGTGATGATCTGTCATATTATTATTATGACAGATACCAGGGAATAATATATCTTCACTAAAGACTCAAAGTAACTTAATGTTCTCAAAGGGGATACAAAGGCAGTAGGTTACTGAAGTGATCTTCTCCTTTCACTTTCTCATTCATAATCAGCAACCAACTTTTCCAACCCAACGGCCATCTGAGTTCTAACCCTTCGGCCAGTAAATCAGCAACCAATAAAAAATTTTTTAACTCGTGCTCACCTTGGGGTTTGGCAGCTCGGAGCCCTGCAGGGAGGCGGAGTAACAGCGAAAGCGGTACTGGTCGATGTACAGCTTCTCAAGGTTCTCCTCCCACTGGCCGATCTGCTTCATGATCGCCGTGCGGCTCCGCGGATCTGTCACCACTGTCATCTGGAGTTCTGCCATCTTGCGCATTTTCACATCCTGTGAGGGTTTACGTAATATAGTTTTGCTTGAGAGTAATACAGAAGTACATCACCACAATAACATCATGTAGTGCAGGGAAGAGGCAAGAAAGACAGAGAGAAACAACAGAGGGTACAAAAAAAAGAAGTAGGACTTAACAGTTGTACTCTCTAACCACTCACAACAGTGGCAACTATCAAACAGGATGATGTCAACAGGCACTTTACTTTACTTTGTTGAGAAGAAAAAGAGCTTTCTATCTCTAGCAAGCTGGATGGCCTGGCTGAGTGGCATTTTGTGTGTTTTCAAGGTATCCTTCTCACCCTCGATCCAGGTCTTCCTTAGTCTTCCTCTTGCCTCATACCCTGATATTCTTTTGTAGTATACTGTAATGGCAAGCTGATGAGGTGTCATACATGTCAGATGTCCAAACCACCTGATTGTTTGCTCCAAATGTAGAGGAGGACAGGCGTTGTTCCCATAATTTCTCATCATGTCCCATCTGGTTTTGTCGAGAGGTAACAGAACAATCACTGAACCAAACTTAGACTCACCATATCTATGCTGGACTCAAGCCGTGTCAGTTCTGAGCACAGCAGTTTGAGTGTGTTGTCCTTGCCATGTTGCCGTGCATAGCTGGAGGCACAGGCCGAGTGTACGGCACGGATCCAATTCTCCAGATCAATCTGAGATGATGCCTGAGGACATTAAATTGTAAAGGACCTTGGATTAGAACCCTCAAATTATGTTACCAAAAAAGACCGCACTATAAGTTTTTTTTGTATATACACAGATTTTTTCCTTTCACCATTGAACTATCAATAAGTTTGAGAAACCAAAGGCTAAAAGATTTACTCATCAGCAGAAACACATTCAGGTATGTGCATGCACCTTGTTTGATACCTCGACCTGCTCTAAATTATATACACACCATGGTCATTTCTTCAGCAAATTAACCAATGACTAAGAAAGAGTTAATATTATAGGGATAGCAACATTTGCCTAAGAATGTTCGTTCAACAGCTGAAAAAGCTAAAACTTTTGGCATTAGACCTAAATGAAAGAAGCTCATCTGATGTACTGAGTCATCATGCCATGCTTGAAGATAATACAATTACAAGCTGTCAAGGCATTAATCTTTTACTCATGCAGTAATGTAATGTTACTGTCCCTAGACTGGAACTCTGTACCATACCTGGAAAAGATAAGCATCTCCACAGGCTGTGCTCAACGAGAATATGTTGTCTCTTTTTGGATGTTCTGGAACTGCTTGTGCAATACCACCTTCGATTACTGTTACATGGGGGGGGGAAAACAAAATTCTTTGCACTTATGGAAGAAATTGACGTATTAATCATGTATAATTTCCCTTTTTTAAAAATATATCAATCGTCTTTTTGAAAAATCAGTTTGACGAAGCTGACAAGAGAAGAAAGAAGGGATACAGTGTCGACAAAATGAGGTGAAAGCCCAGGGAAAGAACAGCAGAAAAAAAATTGGAAAGAAGTAGGGGCCTACACAATATCACCTGGTGAAAATACAAGTTAACAGATTGACAAGTAATGTAATTAATATTGACAATATTATAATAAACAACTTTTACCAGCTGAAAGTTTTTTCAAAGTTGGCTATCCACCAGCCTCCTGGCTTCATTTTCTTAGTTGCTGGCAATGTGAAAAACAGATAACCCCCACAAAAAAAATAAACAAAAAGCACTAAAATGCAAAACAACAACAACAACCAAACAAAAATAAATAACAATTTTTTTTAAAATTTAAAAAAGCAACAACAACGAATAAAGCAACAGTTGCTTTTTTTGTCTACTCCAAAACAAAACCAAGTCAAACAAACAACAATGAACTGTTAGAACTAAAAAATCACATTATAAAATCCCCCCCCCCCAAAAAAAAAACAACCCAACAAAACAACAACTACCCCACCCACTCCACCCCCCTGCGTCCATACTTCATATCCAAACGTGGTCCATACCTAGGATGTGCCTTGGAATACTGTTCTCGGTAATGGAGCTCTCCTCGTCGCAGTCGAAGAAGAGCAGAGTGGTGCCCTTGAGACAGACCCAGTAGCGCTTCCAGGCACGACGAGGCGCCAGCTCCACCTTCTTCTTCTTGTGGAGCAGCCAGTTCTTCACCACCAGCCATCTGAAAGTTTAATTACAATTAATTGTAACACTTTACGTCCACATCGACACAATTTAGGTGGGTGGTTGTTGGAGGGTGCCACTGCAAGGTCCTATACTTCTTTACTTTCCCTCTGTTGAGTCTGTCTGTCTGTCTGTCTGTCTGTCTGTCTGTCTGTCTGTCTGTCTGTCTGTCTGTTTGTCTGTCTGTCTGTCTGTCTGTACTTTTTCCCCAGCACTAAATCATAAAAGATCATTACAGTGTCAATGTACATCTCTTAACAAAAACAATTTAAATACATTTAGACTGGTAAAGAGGTCGGCTGTTCCAGCTCTGCCTGTCAAGGCTAAACTGGGCAAAAACAATGTTCTTCCTGCTCTATCAAAATCGTAAGATTATTCGGAGTCGTTATCAAGATATTCAAATAATTGCAATCGAAAAAGCTTGACATGTTGTGAAACCAAACAATTTTCCCGTCAAATTTATCAAAGCTTGGTACTGAGCAGATAGAACAGTCATTCTAAGGTAGCAAAGTGGTGCTGAACTTGGGCAGTCAATCAAAAGTATAAATGTAAAATAGGTATCCATCAGCTAACATCCATCAAGTAACATAGCATAAAACGTACCCTGCCTTCCTGATGGCTCCCACTTGCCGGGCATAAGACATCTGAGACTCTGTGTCCGTCATTGTGTCTATGCTGTCCTCACTACCGCCTTCTTCATCATCAGACAGCTGAGGAAAGTACAGACATTATGCTGTTATGGAAAGCTAATTCATTAAATAATACATCCGCTCACGAACCCACAGCCAGTCAATCAACCAACCATCCAACCAATCAACCCGCTGAACGTCCAATTTCCCAACCAATGAACTCGCTAAACATCCAACCATCAAACTCAAATAAATTTTAACAGACAACCATCCAACCAATCAAGCCGCTGAACAGCAAAATAATCAAACCGTAGAACACCAAACCATCGAATAAGTCAACTTTCTCGAAATCAATCCGTCCCGTGAAACAATCATCAATGAGTTTGCCAACAAACCAACAATCAAACAACTGTCTACCGGGCAGATAACCAACCGACCAACTGACCGACCATCCACCAAAACGACCAACCAACTACCTACCCACCCAACAAACCAACAAACCACTCAACAACCCACCCACCAAACCAACCAACCAACCAAGTTATCAACAACAAATCAATTTTTCCCATATCATCAATCAAACTACTGTAAAGATATCCATTATTCAGTCAATCATCCATCAAACACAAGAGGCTAGGTGACCTCGAGCTCAAAGCTTAGTAAATAGTATAGGTAATGATGTGACAGACCAGGGCGAGGACAAGAATGCAGTGTTCTGAGGACTAAGGGCTTAAACCCTCTTTCTTTCTCCCCTCCCCAAC